TTCATATCCTGTGCCCATTTTTTAATTGGGTTATTTACCTTAATCTTGTTGTGGTGGTCATGACCTTTTTTTAATCCAGCCTGAACTTCTGGTAGTTCTCCATCAATTGTTGGATTATTTCACGAAATATGTTGCTTGTATGTGATATTAATGATATTGTTTGATTATTTCTACATTCTGTTGACTCATTTGTCTCAAGAATCAGAACAAACATCGATCTTTTACAATCAGCTGGCCAGGTACCTATCTTCCTAATACCCTGATGTAGGTTTGTGAGCACGTCTACAGCTACATGTTAGTTGAAATGTGTGAACTGGTATCCCCTTGATTCCTGGGGCCTTATATTTTTATCAGTGCCTTCAAGGTAGCTTTGTTTTCTTCCCTCATCACCACTGGCTGTTTCTCGTTTGCTACTTTCTGAAATATTTCAGTGACAACCAATTCTTTTTGGTGCAGTGATTCTGTATATTCCTCCATCTTTTTTTCGGAGCTTCTTGGATAATTTAAGATTTTGCCCATCACATTTCTTAGTATCACAACTCGGTACGTGAAGTTTTGCAAAATGTTACTATTGGGAGAAATAGATTACTTCTGCTTTAATTGATCATTTCTTATTTTTTAACTTACTTTAATTCCATTTTACTTATCTCTACCACTTCCAATATTTGCTCTAAAAAGAATCTGAAGCAATGCATGTCAAAACTCTCAAAGATTAGAAAAAAATGTTGCGTAAATAAATATTTATTTAGACAATATATCCCATTGACCAAGTGATGATCTGTAGTAAGGACTGGTCAGCAAATGCTTTGCCAATGAAACTTTCTATTGCTCCTTTATAATAGTAATGTAACATTTACAACCAAAAAAGCCCATGCAGTTTCATATTAACAGGTGACATGTACTAGCTTTGAGAAACTGTATTTGAGGCACAATCTTAAATAAAGGAATGACTGACTAAATTAGCAAGTAAGTTAGTTCAGAAACTTTTCATTTTGTTTTCTAACAGGAAGGAATGTGGTTCCACAAACAAATGAGCTTTCAATCCCCCCTGGGTGAAAAACTGTTAAACTTTATAAAACAAGGTTGTTTAATGTCAGTTGCCGTTAGATGCTGCACACATGCTGTAGATGGTCTGATGTATGCTGTATATGCTATAGTAGAACCTACTTTTAGTCACCATGCAACAAGTATTGGGACACTTATTAGAAGTTGTGGTTTTGGTTTGCTACCATCACTGAGGCCATCATTTTGCTACAAGGTCTGGCTTGAAGAGGAAGAAATCAATTTTATAATTAGGGCTCAGCAAAGATATCCTAGGATTTCATCATGATGCCTTCTATAATTAGGCTTCATATATGGAATAGTTAGCATTAACTACACATCCTGAAACGATTCGTTTTGAATTTTTCTAAAATTAATAAAATGTACACATTAGCCAAAAGATATAACATCATTTACCACTAACCATCTCTTGATTTGCAGGTCTTAACTCTGATGAGTGCATTCAAAGAGTGAGCTCACCTGAATTCTTACAAAACGTGGGCAGGCATAACCTGGCAGAAATGTTACAACTTGATTATACACTTTTTGCAAGTCTAAAGACTTATTTGGTTTTACAGTAATTGAAGCCATTCCTGCTTTTCCTTCATAACCTGGAAACAAAAGTTTGAGAGGAAATGATATGAGTACTAGATAAATTTCTTTTTTCAGATCATGTTAAGTACATACTAATTGTCACAAAATGAGTCATTAAATCTACTGCAGCAACAGTAGTGCACTACTTATCATTGACTGTTGTGCTCTATCAAGCTGAAACTGACTCATAGCTGACCATATATCCAGTGGGTTTTAAGAGGCTACAAACCGCATGAGAAGAGTTGCCTGTCTTTCCCTTAAGGAGCAGCTAGTGGATTCAAATTGTCTGTTTTGACCTGGTAGCACAACGTGCGTACATAAATAAGTCCGTTACCTTCTCTGTCCATGTTATCTAGAAAGTCCAAATCCAAACCCAAACCTCTGCCACTGCATTAGTTCTGACTTGGCAGCCTTGTGTGTCTTAGAGGGGCTGACATGGGCTTTTCTTGGCTATAAATCATAAGGGCAGCAGACTGCCAGTCTTTTCTTCCACATCACTGTTTCACAAATTTGAACTTATCATCTTTAGGCTAACAGTTATAGAGAAAGTCTGGGAAATCTCCAGGAACCTAGGATAATAAATACTCCCTACAAGTTTAGAAACAGAAAAAGTCAAAGCCTAAACATCATAAATGACTAATAATTTGCAACCTACCACCACTAATGAAAAATATTAAGGCAGCATTTATTTAAAGCTAAGTATCTTTCTCATAGATTTGTTTGTTCTTCAGTTTATGACTGTCTGTATTGTTTGTTAACACCATAATGCAAACACATCAATTTTTATTTGGTCTTCCTTATTCCTTTTGTGTGCATGTGAGGTGATTGAAAATATAACTATCACCAATGTATTCTAGCAAAGGACCTCTCCTGGATCAATGGGTAAATGTTTAGGCTGCTAATCAAAGGGTTTGTGGTTCAAACCCAACTGCCATTCTGTGGGAAGAACATGTGAGCGGTAGCTTCCTTAAAGACCCTGGCCTCAGAAATCCAAACGAGCAGTTACCTAGGCAGTTCTATTCTGTCCTATGGGACCCCTAAGAGCCAGAATCTACTCAAGGACTTTTAAAACAAAACAAAAAACCAACTCCAGAATAAATGACTGTCATAAGCATTAATTTTTAAAAGCAAATTTTAAGTTAAGAGATTGAAACCTGGTATTTCCACAACTAATTTCAGATTACTGCTTATCATGCTATGGAGGACATTTTCCAACAGATTGGAACTACATGTACTATTGTAAATTTTAACACAGAGTGGATGTCAGTCCATCATTAAAAGAATTATTTTTTTTTTCTTCCACTTGCCTCTCCACACACTTCTACCCTTGATGTGTCCTGCACCTCAAGCATTAGCTGGAAAAGACTGCCGTTTGTATAAAAAAGACAGTAAAAGGAAACAGCTGTCCTATGACTTCAGATCAGCCTATTTTCTGTTCTGTTCACCATCATGAGACAATCTCACATATGCATTTATAAAAATAAACAAAGACAAATATATTTTAAAACAATCTTGAAAAGTATTCAACTGTGTAACCTCTTGACACAAAGATTAACCTTAAGTATAAATGAGCATCATGAGACATTTAACCTATACTAAATTCTTACATATAAACACTTAGTGGTTTAGAGGTATATATAAACATTAGTCTACAGGGGAAAAGAACCAACACAAGCTATTGAAGGTGTGTAACTAATTTCACACAAGGAGTCACTGAGTGGACTTTTTAAGATCTACATAAACAACAAACAAACAAAAACAGCACCACACATTAGCATTCTGTATCTTTCTCCTGATGTGTTCGGCAAATAGCATTTCTTGACAAGGCAAAGACCAAGATAATGATTCATTTATTTTCATACTTAAAATTGAAATTTTTAATTAGTAAGGTAATTGTATGACTAAAGAACAGTGGCATCTTGAAAATCCTTCCAAAACCTGAGATATCTTCATACCTGGCACAGGCACACCATAAACATTTGCTTCTTGTATGAAATCCAGCACCCCGATAACATCAGCAACCTCGGTGGTTGCCACATTTTCCCCTTTCCATCTAAATAAAAGCAAATCTCAGTCAATGAATTGTCTCTGAAGAAGTCGACCCTCAGTTTTACTCCCAGTGTTGTACATTTGTAACTGTGTAAAGACACATTTTTGTAACTGACACATATTTGTAACTGACCGAAGACAATGGTAGTTTAAAATGGAAGATGTTTTGTTGGAAATTCAACAAAATCAGGTTTCTGAATTTTTAAAACTTTTAAATTAGTTTATCTATTTTTACTTTGTATAAATTGCTTACCATAAAATGACTTTCCTAATATTTCATAAAATTATGATGAACCCATCTTTATTTTGTAATGTAGTAACTTTTAAGAGGAAAGTATTCATTATATCTAGTGTTAGGAATACGAAAAAGTAAAAGGAAAAACTGTCATTGTATCTTAATATACTAACCCCTTCCAAGTATTAATTATTTTGGCTCCTTTAGGGCATAAATATGAATGTTTTATTTTCATTAGAATGATTTACACATCTTAACTCATTGCCACCAAGTCAGAACCAAATCAAAATTGACTCCACGTTGGGTTTTCAGACGCTATAAATCACACGCAAGGATTTGGCTCGTCTTTCTCCCTCAGAGCCACTGATGGATTCGAACCACCAGAGAGGTACCACTATTGGGTTAAGTGACCTTAAAGCATTGTCCATGGAGGAAAAGAGGTAGAAAATAGGGTTCATTCATTCATTCAAATTTTGTTGAATTCCTTGGGTAGGCCTTCACTGTTCCATGGGTTTTTAGGTAAAACAAAAGAATTTATTAGACATAAAGTAATCCTAAAGATAAAAAAGGAAATTTTGCTACTTCAATTTTTGGTTTTGGGTACTAGTTCAAGCATTAACAATATTTGGTGAAATTCGGTTTTCTGTTTTAATGTTACTATTTAGCAAATTGTATATGTCAACTTGTTATAAATTTTATAAAAGTAGCTCTCACTGATTTGGACCAAAATGATTGCCTAATAGATTCATAAAAATTAATATAAATATTAAATTTAATGTACAATCTAGATACAGGTAGTTACAAGTTTTTAAATGGGGGAGAGTTTACATGGGTCATTTAGTTTTGTTTGTTAAGGAGCATGTGGTGTATAACATTCCCAAGACTGGCCTATTGTATGGTGTATGGTTTCAACATTTCAGAATACACTGTGCATCCATTCACAGTCATCTATACCTGAAAGTGTCCCCAGTACGGTCCCAAAAGTACAGGAAATCCTTTTCTTCCACAATTAAGTCTCCTGTGTTAAAGTAAACATCTCCCTTCTTAAAAACATCATAAAGCAACTTCTTTTCTGTGTGCTTCTTATTCCCAGCATAACCAAAAAAGGGATGCTTTGCACTCACTGGAGCTATCAGAAGTCCGGGTTCTCCTACAAGAGGCAGAGAAGGGCATTTTTAGGCATCTGATTAAGACTTCTATATCTACAAACTTGTAACTAAATAAGAGTGGGCAATCAAAACAAATGCTGATCACCTTCCTTTCCTCTGAATATATTTTTTTATTACATTTGACATCACTAACAACCACCATCACCACCCTGCTTCTAGCACATCCCTTAACAATTTACCACAAGTACAAATGACGTTACAACTAGTTTGGCTCCACAATCAACACTCTTGGTACCAGTAGCCAGGAAATCAAAAGATGAATTGCACTGAGAAAGTATGCTGTCAGGGACCTCTCCAGAGTACTGAGGAGCAATGATGTCAGTCTAGAGACTAAGGTGTGTCTGATTCAGGCCATGGTCTTTACAATTACTTACTATGCATCAAAGAGCTAGACAATGAATAAGGATGATAGAGGAAAAAGTGATACCTTTAAGTTATAGTTCTGGAGAAGTATCAAACATGTTATGGACTACCAAGAGAACAAACAGGTTTGTCCTGGAGATAGCAAAACCAGGCTGCTCTTTGTAGGCTAGGATTTTTGAAGCTCCTTCTCACATACTTTGGGCACATGGCCAGGAGGGACTAGTCCTTGGAGAAGGACATTATTCTTGGAAAGGTGGAGAAACAGTCCAGGAGAGGGAGGAAGACTCCAAATGAGATGGACTGACACAGTAACTGGGGTAATGGGTGTAGGTGTATGTGAGACAGTGAGATTGGCTCAGGATAAGACAAGGTTCAGAACTATGGTACATTGGCTCACTATGAGTCACAAGTGACTTGATAACACATAACCCCAACAACAATAACAACACAGATGACTTTCTAAACCAAGAAGTCTATAAAGAAAAGATGAATTAAAGTTATATGCTGAGTGGACAGGGCAATAATTATTTTTGTTTCTGGATCATAGATATCAACAATAAAATAATGACTTTTACATAAGAACTGCTAAAGGGATTTGCACTACTAACCGAAAGGCCATAACCTCTTTTTTGGTTCAAATTTACCAGCAGCTCTGTAGGAGAAAGTTGGACAATCTCCTGTATGATTCACAACCTTGAAAATCTGATGGACTGTCAGCTCTGAGTTGGGTTCAACTTGATAGAAATGAGTTTGAGTTTTTATGTAATTGTCAGTCATACATTAATTTTAATGAAAGAATGATCGTTGCCATGATCATATTGTCATCACAAAAAGGCTTTGAGATTTCTAATTCCTATTTCAAGGAGAGTAACTCACACGAATTATGTAGGTCAAAATCATACAGAAAGGAATAGATCTATAAATTCAAGTCTTTATGAAATAGGGTTTCTGTATAATATTGCCTCCAAGTCAGTTAAAATGTTAAAATTTAAGAAAATGTTTTATTCCTTTGAGATATAGCTCTGGGAATTTTCCCAGAAAGAAATGAGAGCTTGGATGAGGAATAACAGTCTCCTATGCTTTGAATGTAACTTTACTTACAAATGGATAAATCCCCTGAAATAATTTTGTAATAAAAGGTATCTAAAATAACACAGATTTAGTCTAGCAACTTTTAAAACAAAAAGCTGCCTGGCAGAAATCACAACCCCAGAAACTGTCAAATTTATTTACTTGCCTGTTTTTTTGTAAAGAGACCAGACATCCACATGATAGGTTAGACAACACTGCGTTCAGCAAACCCTAAAGCAGTCGAAGCCATTTTATCACTCCATTCAGCTCCACAGCTCCTACTCCAGGCACTTTGACTTCTCAGGGCTTGTGCCACTGGCCACAGCAAGTCTGCTCTGCTATAGCAGACACTGACCACTGTTCAACTCCTTGTCATTACCAACATTACCAGAGTAATCACCATCACCACAGTTACATCTTTGTATTAGAGTTTTACTTGTGCCTAGTCTCATCCTCATGACAAAAGCTTCATCTTATAGGTGGCAAACAGAGCCAGAAAAATAACATTCGCAATATCACATAGATACTAAGTGTCTAAGTGAGCTCTGGTTGCCTAATGGGTAAGAGCTGTGCTGCCAACTCAAATGCACACAGTTTGAATCCATCAGTTGCTTTATGGGAGAAAGATGGGTAATCTCTTCCCATGCCATTTACTGCTTACTCAATTTGAATAGGGTCAGCTATAATTCAGTTCCAACATTAAAAAACAGCAACCAAATGTCAAAGCTGGAGTTTTCCCAGGTCCATTTTATTCCATAGCCTCACCTCAGTTGCATTTTCTTTTGGTCTACATTCCTTATATTTAAACAAGTTCCCAGCCTATTATGCTTACTTTAAAATGTATGTTCTTTGTTTTGCTTCTTAAGTACACAGAGGATAGCTATGTCCTTGATAAAGTAATTCTTGCGAATGCTTAAGTAGGTCATAATGGAGTAATATTTATCTTGTCTAGGCATAATGTGTATTGTAAAGACACACAGTTTTAATGGGGGAAAATATTGTGTATCTCGTAATGAGAATTCCAAACAGCAAAGTGGATATTTGGGGTCAACTGCTTTTTAAGAAACTGAGTTTACATACTCATAGTTCTGAGTTGTGACTTCCAACATAAAATGTTATGGTGATTGTAATAAATTGCCGTAGAAAATGGTTTAGCTAAAGATATTTGCAGTCTTTGCAGAAATTGCTGTTCACTTGAAAACTATATAGAGTTGAATTAGGGACATATATTTAATGAATGTTTATAACCTTGAAAAGCAGGCAACTGGAACATTTATTTCTTCTAACCAAGTAAAGAAAGAGCTCTGGTAGAGTAGTGTGTTATGTGTTAGGTTTCTAAGCAAAAAAGAGATCAGAAATTCAAGTCTACCAGTCATTCTGTGTCATTATTATTGTTGTGTACCATTCAGTCAGAACTGACCCAAAGCAGGCTTTCAGAGGCAGTTAATCTCACAGTAGGAGATTGCCTGTCCTTTTCCCACAGAGCAACTGGTAGGGTTTAAACTGCATGCCTTCAGGACTGCAGCACAGTTTCTTGCCATTAGGCCATCAGAGTTTTTATATCTATCTCTATCTCTCTATATCTCTATTATCTCTATATATCTATAT